AGAGCCGTGACAGGATCGAGAGATGAGCGAACCCGGTATGTGTTCGCTCACCTCCCGATCTACTGAGCCGACCTGCGACAGTCTCATTGTCACAGGTCGGCTAGAACTATGAGGTGAGTGGAAATCACTCATCTCATAGTTCTCCTTTAAGGGTTGAAAATTTCGAAAAAAATTATACTTACCAGTTCCTGGGAGCCGGGGTGCTCTTAGACCGGTTCCTGGAGCGTCTCTCCCTCTCTCTTGCATCACTCTAAGGTCCCCAAGTCATCAGGTTCTATACACAGTGTATACTGGTAACTCCATTGAGGAGAAATTTGACTCAAAGTAATATTCATTTACTCCCAGTCACTACAGCAGCACATAATCCTTACAGGGCTGTGGTCCCACATTAATTTTAGGGTGGTGCTGAACATTGGTTACAGACACAAAGCCTAGGGCATGAGAGTTACCCAGGCATCAGGCACAGTCTTAAGTGTTGGATGCTCAAGATACTAATGACGGCCATATCTCTGCAAGAGAGTGAAGGTTCCAAGGTACGGGTGACAGGTTGAGCATTACTGTTCTTTTGCAGGTTTATTTTTGATTATTACATCGGCAACGGGACCGCTTAACGTCCAACTAACTTGGTCTGCTGATTTATTTGCATATTTTTTTCCCCAGAAAATCCAACAATCATTTACAATTTGAAAACTGCCCAAATGGCTGCTGTCAAATCGACAAAGTTTTACAGGCAGTCACAGACAACTACGAAAAAGAAGGAGATCACCAGCACTCAGTCAAAAGCATTCAAATTCTTTTGCTTATTTATTGAGGAAACACATCAATAAATAAGCAAATAGCCAAAGTTTCGCGGCCATGGAGGATCTTCTTCAAGGCGACCTAGTATAGTGTAAGCGCTGTGCAAACTGTTGGCACTATATAAATCCTGTATAATAATAATAATAGTGAAAAAGTCACTATGTCGCCTTGAAGAAGGGACCCTTTGTGGCCCCGAAAATTTGGCTAATGGATGCTTGTGACATGTTTCCTCAATAAATAAGCAAAATTATTGAATGCATGTTACTGAGTGCTGGTTATCTCCGTCTTCTACGACCCTTTTACACTTGTCTATGAAAACATCAAACTCGCATCTGTGCAAACCTTTCTTTCGGCTTCAAATGTATACGTATACAATCCATCCACATCATTAAATACCAGGTAGTTATTTAAAGGCATATAAGAGCTGCAAGAAAAAATAATGATATGAGTCAACACATGGCATGCCATGATACTACGTATACTAAAAAAAGACTTATAAACTCAATTACCTTGAGGCTATTTTAAATACTTCAGTGGCGCAGGCCGCTAAAAATACAAAGAGATCATTGTCACATCAAAGGCACTTATATGCATTAAAGAAAGCAAGTCAACTGAGAACAGTAGCCATTGTAGTAATAGAAACATGAACAGAACAAAACAATATAAACATTCAATATCAAATGTAATTGCCAGCCGTGTCCATGGAGCCTGCATGTGGTATAAACTAGGGATGCACCGATACCGAGTGATTGGCCAGAAAGCCGGCTCCATGCTTCCTCGTCACCAGGCATGGAGACTCCTTCCCGGCTAATCAGGAAGCCAGGTGGCGAGTCATTACACACCGCCTGCCTTCCTTAATGGGACTTCCGGGAATTCAGTATCGGCCAGTACCAAAAAAAAAATATCGGTACTCGATACCGAAAAACCTAGTACAAACAATATTAATTTGTTCCAACGACTAATTTCATTTCAGAGGAATGAGACACAAACTACAGTTTATTAACTGCACCCCAACTATCGTCATCATATTCCACGTGTGCCCTGTGTAGTAATGTACACCCTGCATAGTCCCCTACTTGGCAACAAGACAAGCTTCTCACTATCATTTACAAGTCTCAGCAGTCACACTAATCAAATTACATAGGCCCAATCTATTACATAGCACTTGACATAATATATTGATTTATTCACATCAGCCCCTGTCTCACGGGTGCCTATTGTTTTAAATCCCTATAATTAGAACACACATACACAAGGCCATTATGTCTTGAAACAAATCATCCCACCATTAAATTATTGGCTTGTGGAAATAAAATCGGAAAGCCTACACACAGCGTTGGGACATGCAAACTCAATGCTGCACGAGATCTGTAAAAAATAAGTCACCGCAACTGGACTTGCTGTATTTTTCTTGAAGACGTTTCACTGGACATCCAACCAGCTTTCTCAATTCAGACTGACTTGTACAAGCCTGAATTGAGAAAGCTGGTTGGATGACCAGTGAAATGTCTTCAAGAAAAATAAATGCCTTGACTTATTTTTTACAGATATACCATGACCTGGATGAATGAGAACCTTCACAGACTCAATGCTGCATTTCTGAGATTTACCTGCAATTACTGCATTTGTAGACGCTACCGCTGGAATAATCCTTTTCACAACACCTATAAGTCAGAAAATAAGAATGTCATGCATCCATAAGACAAAGAGTTTAAAGTATACATTAAAGTAACACGCTGCCACAAGGTTAAAAATAAACATCTTTCTGCAGATCATAACTGGACAGAGGTATCATTTTAAGCGGACTTTGCAGTAAAATGTAAGGTTAGCCAACACTATCAGTGCCCCTCCCCCTTCACAAATCACCTACTATTAATATACAGGAATATTGGATGAACGCACACCAACTATATTGGAACTCTCTTTATTCTTTCACCCAAGCAATACACTAGCAATGAATTGAGACCTCTGATGTGTTTCAAACATACAGGTACTTAGCCATAAAGTCTCTATGAATGAGTGCCTGTGTGGGAAACGAGTCAGAGGTCGCAGTTTATTGCTTGTGTAATGATTTTATGAAAGAATAAAGAAAGAGTTCTGACATAGCTGGTGTGCGGTCATCCAATTTTCCTGTATAGTGGCTGTCAGCAAATGACCTGGATGAGCATCTGGTTACAGCAGGCAAGCATGGACTAACTTGGAGCAACACACTTATTTTCTTACCGATTAGTAAGTTTAACTTGTACCTGTAAATAAAAATAGTTCGGGTTAATACTTACCTCACCTGCATCTTCCTCTCATGGCACCTTGGGGAGGAGAACCTCAAGCCCCTTCCAGCTAGATCCTGGAGAATACAGAGCAGTTGAAAGCTCACACAAAGACGCCACTGCAATGCACTGGAGTGTCTTCTGGATTTTGCCTGCTCAGCATTCCCCAAGGATCTTCCTGGAAGGATGGTAACATCATGCCCAAAGATGCAGAAGACGGGGTAGGGCAACTTTATTTTTGACAGGTACATTTTACACCCAATGACACTAGGTGATTTTTAAATGAGGAGGGGGCCCTTGCAATGTAAGCTGATCTTGCATTTTACTGTAAGATCCACTTTAAGCTATTTACAGTGTAAATCCAACATGAACCTTTATATTGGTTTAGGATAGGGTTCCCATCATTTTCTTGTCTGGAAAATAAAGCTTGGAACCTGTCAAATTTTTATTGCTGTCCATATCACCATTGAAGATCTCTCTTTACTGCTTTTTCCAGTGACAACATTGAAACGAGGAGAGGAAGTTAGGGGAAATATCCCCGGCGGGTACCAGCTATAAAAACCTGATAGAGGAACCTGATAGAATTTAAAAATAAAATTGTCTGGAGGTAAACTTTAAATATAAAAAGAAAAGAAAAAAGGTTCCAAACAGAATTTTCCAGGCATAGGATTACCCGCATTACCTTGGGTGAGTCTGTATGTCACTCCTCGGATGTGGAACTGTGAAGCTCGCTCTAGAGATTTCTTATATATCCACTGGATATGCTCTGGGTCATCTCCATCCAGCTGAACACCCTCTAGAGAAAGAAATAGCAAATTGTTTTATACAAAGCATACAGCCTTTTGCAGAGCACACAAGCCAGTTTAACCATATTAAAGTTGAAATCTGGCTAAACAAATACTGTCTAAAATACAAGATCCTTACTTAAATCTTGGTATCCCATGTGATCCAGCATGAAAAAACTTCTGCACTTTGCCTCTTTTTAGGAGATAATAAAGTCTGGCCACTGTTGCTCTCTATTCTTGTGCAGGCAAAGTGACAATGTCCTTGCAAATGGCATCACCAACCAAATATACTCACAGTACCTATGCTCCATTGCAGCTCCTTGCTCCTCCACAGCTAGTGAACAGTGAACATACGTGAAACTTTCAGGTATGGGGAAGCATGTGACCTGGCAGCCAATCGCTAGGCCGGGGCACTGTCACATGTCCAGGGAAGTGACGTCAACACTCCGACGACTCGTCAACACAACCAATTTGAGCACTGGCTGTGGAGGACCTGCTCAGATACACAGGTAAGGCAGAATATATTTTTTTCTTCCCCATCGGTGTAAACATTAGAGAGATTTACCTTTACTTTCTGCCTTGCAGACACAACAGGAAGTGAAGAAATCTCTCCAGACTGAGCGAAATACCCTCTTAGACACCTGTCATTAACAAGTGTTCCCACTAAATGATTTTCCCTCTATTCCCTTTACAGAGAAAGCTCAACATTTGGGAATTTTCCTCCCTTTCAGCAATAAGGACCTGACAGGGTTGCTAACCCTTCCACACTCTATCCAACTATATTCAAAATGAATTGATCCCGTCTGGCTGCTAGACTGCAAATTGTAGAAATGTCACCAGCACACCAGTCCTATTAGGATAGCAAAAGCTTCATTTGTTGAAGTTCTTTGTCATATGAACAAGCGTCATGGCGGGATTATGACATCATTGTGATGTCAGAGTGTGTTGATTGGTATTTTTTGCAACAGTCTGTCTATTTATACTTAGATGTGATCACTATACAATTGTCAATGCTAAAACCTGATGAAGGGACCCTGTGTGGTCTCGAAAGCGCTTTTTCATATGACAAAGAACTTCAATAAATGAAGCTTTTGCTATCCTAATATGACTAGTGTGCTGGTGACATTTCTACAATTTGCAGATATTTACGGCGCCATCCGCAGTCAATAAGAACACTCCCCACTACAAGGGACTTTTCGGTAAGGAGTGCAACAAGGATAGTATTTATTGGCCGCTAGCCTGGTCCCCACGGGCTCTTCTCCCATAGGCTAATGCAAGTCCATTCAACAGCATTGTCTGTTGAATGGAACCATAGCCGGAGTGGAGGGGGAGAGAGGCGAGTGCTCTCCACCGCAGGACCAAGGATCAGATGAGCATATCATCTTTATTCCGCCCCTAGACCAAAATGAGCAGTTAATCATTGCAGTGTAGTAAAAGCTCAACCACACGGGTTAATTTTGATACTAGCTGGAGTTCCTTCTTAAGATTTAGCAAACCTGAAAATGAATTGCATGAAAGATCGGAAAAGTTATTAAATAAATATATCAGAGGGATTTCCATTATACCTCCAAACGGTTGCTCTTTTGGCCATTGCAAAATCCGGACATACTCTATACAGTGCTCCGGTAACCTGGGCATAGATGCAATTGTACACATTGGGAAGTTAATCTGAGGGAGAGAACAATAAAAGAATGTTACAGAAACAGCAATGGAATGGGTCACATTTTGGTAAACAATGTCAATCTAAAATGTCCTGATGGAATTGCACACAAAAGGAAGTTCACCTTATTCATAAAAATTATAGATGCTTCGCTTTTTTATATATTAAAGGCACAGACCACCTTTTGCAAAAAAATAGCAAATGCAGCAACTCTGATCTTATGATTAATGTGCATTTACTCTTGTTTTTGCATAGAAGTCTGCAGAGAATTGCACCTGCAATCAGTGCATCGCAAGTGAAATGCATAAGCTCTTGCAATGTTTACCCCCAGCCTCAGGTCCATACAGAGGAGCTGCTGTCATGGGGCATGAGGAAGTACGGCAGGACTACAATTGTGGTGATGTCACAGCTCTACTGCCAGCGCTGTGCTGCAATGGCAGATAGGACCTGTAGTAAGGTTAGTAAGCAGCTAAATACACAACAGAAATACATACATGTAAAATTGTTTTACCTGCTTAAGGAAGGCCCATCATTTGCAGGGTTATTCACAAAAGGGTGACGAGTTTGGAGAAGGCAGAAGAAGTGAACAATCTAGGACAACATAGCTGAACCGGAAAGTGAGCTTAATTGGATAATTTTTCCAAATCAACTGTTTTAGCCTAGATTATTCACTTCTCCGGCCTTCTCCAAACGCTTCACCCTTTTGTGAATAACCCTGTTGGTTTTCCTGTCCGATCAGCATGTTTCATTAGCACACAGGCAAAGCAGCAGAGTCTGATTGCCTGCTAGTGTTGAGCCTTCCTCTTCTAAACTGAGAGCAAGATATTACAAGAGGCTGACACCACAGGTACTTACGCCAGCTGTGTGTAATGATCTTAAATTACTACAGGACTGGCGTTTTATTTATACAGTATTTCCTTTGATTTCAGTTTTAAAATGGTCCTTGCACTAGACAACAAGGCCTGCTCATTATACCAGGGCCTCCTCTCCTTTTATAAATTGCCATATGATGAATATACAGAAATTCACCTGTGGAGAAAAATGTTAGAATATATTCTTCTTACCTTACCCCCATTACTGCCCCGTGTCACAAGGGTGACATCATAAAGCCCAACGCGAGTACACTGCCTGTGCCAACATACACAGACATCCCGAGAGGCCAAAAAACAGAAGGCACGACTGCATACATTTTGTTTTTTTAATTTTTTTTTCCAGTCTTTATTGTTACTTGACAAAGTGTACTCTTGTGATTCACCCATGGAGTGCTATACGGAAGAGCAAAATCATGATGACCATACATGATGAGGCCTAGAATTCTGCAGATCTCTGCCCCACATTCTGTCTTCTCTATAAAAAAAAACTGGTGTACATCATGATACATGCAGGTGATCTTAATCATAACGAGAACATTTTATACTCTAACCTGTGGTGGATACAATTCAAGAGTACACTCCACGCATGCAGTCATCCCTGGTAAAATGACACGGGCATTTCCTTTAAAGCCTTCTGTACCTCCATCAATAAAAGGAATAACTGTGCTTTGCTGTAACTCTCCATCTTCATAATTCAGGAGGGACATCTGAGAATGAAAACAAATATTTAGATATCCGTATAGCTACCTATATATCAGTACAGAACCTGCAGTTGTCAGGTCTTTTGAACCAATTAGCCACTCCTCTTTTAGAAAAAAAAATCCAGCCCAACTAAAAATTTTCTTTCATTTTTTGGAGAAAGCTTGAGAGGTAATCTGTAATCCGTGATGATTGATTAAAGTGTATTTCCAGACGAAAAAGTTTTGTTTGTTTTTGAGGGAGTGAGTTAAGGTTTGAACTGTCATTTGGGGCTACTTTAAAAAGATTGCTTCTCACTTTCCATCTTGTTGTCAACAGTTCCCCAGACATGAAGTGCGGGCAAATCTGCATCAAAGTCACAGACAGCAATGAAAAGCTGGAGCACATACATAAGTTGTGCTAGATCTTCTTCTATTAGATATCTTAAATCTTTTCAGGAAACCAGTAGTAAAATTCTTTGCATTTGTGTTGTCAGACCTGTCTGCCATAACCAATATGAGGTGGTCCCATCTTCCCTGTTGGATTTTTTTCCATTACAGAGAACACATGATTCTAGCTAGTCTGAACCCACCGGTGGCAGAAACTCAGCAAGAAAATGTGGTAGGGAGATCTCACCAATGAAGTATAGGAAGCCAGCAGGTGACAAAGCCCCCTAGACCCCATCTACTGTATAACTAAAATGTCAGAGTTGGGTCAAAAGAACCTTTAAATAATTACAATGAAGAAGCAGAGGCTAGCAATCATTCTAGTGGACTAAAAGGAAAGTTTTTATGCAGTTACGCCATGCAGGTTCCTACCTAGTTTTACACTGCCCAGTCTGACTAAGTCTGACTCCCAAACAAGACTTGGCTTTGACGCAAGTAAAAAAAGCCCTTCAGCTTGATGCATGACTACTCAAATATTTAACTTCTAAAAAGTACATTGCTCCTATAATCTAGTTTACGTCCATACCAGGTTTACTATAAAAGGCTCAAAATCTACAAAGCATTTCCTTGGTTATTGTACAAAATTTTAAATGTATGAATTGATCTCCAAGGTTTATATACATAAGAACCATGAAGATTTATAAAATGGAGTCATGAATTTCATTTTGATATCTTTGTTGTTATCCCCTGAAATCCATTGTTTTTTTCTTTTTGTGGCGTAGGTCATTTCCTGGAATTACATATGATACTTCTGAAATACAATAACCTTTATAACTGAAAGTACCTAATTACCACCCCTACCTTCCTCCTTCACAACATGCGTTTACTATTTCAGTACAGGTTGACGTTAAATGTAAATAGAAGGGAGCGTTATATTACCAGCATTCCATTCAGCCACCGCCTGGCAATAATTGAATCCAGACCACATACTACGAGATGAAAGTCTGGAATGCAACAAAAAAAAAGCACAAAATATACTGAATTCCTGAATAACCAGGGATCATTATGTTAATATCTAAAATTAAGGAACAAGCTCTACCTCGATAAAATGATTCGTCCATGTCTTGAATTTTTTTATAATGACTGTTTACATGGAATTCAAGGTTAAGGACAATGTGACTTCTGATTGGTTGCTACTCAATGCCTCCTTCAGTATGCCCACATGTATTCCCTGATTCTCCAGTTTAAATCCCCCCCCCCCCCCCTAAACAAGTGCGTTCCCCCCTT